GGGTTTTACAAATGATACTTCATAAAAATCAGCAATAAATTATAAAACAGTAGTAGGGCTTTGAAATGACCCTGCAAATAATTATATCTATTTCAAAGAAAGATTTACACAAACCGGGGTGATAACTAAAGTTTTTCCTTATTGAAACAACGTTCTCGTAATTTTCTTTTAAGATGTTTCTTTTCTCGTACAATTGTGTCTTTTTTTTTGTGATATAACTATGTTTTTGTAATAAACAACAATTTTGGTAGCCTGGCTTTTATTTTGCACTGTACAACTTCAGAGAAACTAAAGCTACATTTTGACAATATTTTCTGTAAATTTATTTTGTAGGAAAACAAACCTAATTGATTAAAATAGGAAATTAGACTTCATACTGTTTTGGTCTTGTTAGTTTTTATGCTTGTAATCATTCAGGGAAACATTTACGTTTTTAGACATTTATTTATTTTTTAGGTTTTTACTTGGCAGCAAGGAAGAGATGCATGCGGAAAGAAAACAAAAAAAATCTACATTTGTTATTTCTAAATAAAAAACAATGGACATTAGATGTGATATGAAAAAAATCTAAGACTTTATTTTTAGAATATACCGCCGGCCCTTTAAGAACATTTGTTATTGTCAGGAGTTAGTTGCTTTTTTCCCTCCTAAGATCTGGAAGAACATGAACATAAAACCACTGGGGAGCAGATCAGACTTAGGAGCCGTTCTTACCTTTTTGTTTTCTGCTGTGAACTCAAACGGAGTGTCAGGGTTGTTGTCAGGTGTGTCTCTGTGCTGAAGCAACAACAAAAAACGGAGAACACACACTGGGGTTATAAAGAGTTCATGCAGTCTCCACCAAATATATAACAACAAAATTCAGGAAAAAAAAAATCTCCCGAGAAGGTCAAAATTTCTCACATTAAAAAGCTGATGCAGAACAGTTACTTTAACGCTTAAATAGTTTGTTTATGAAACATTAACCAGGAGGGCGCCAGGAAAGCCCAGAGAGGAAACAGGTGTTTTTCCTCCAACCACAGAAAGGAGGAGATGAATAACAGACAATTATTTCTGCTTCTGCACACACTGCCCCCTTGTGAGCAGCAAATGCCCCTTTGTGCAACTTTAAAAAATGTTAATAAAAAGAAGAGTCTTAGCTGGTTTTCGGTGTTGAAATGTCTATCGACAAGAGAAATGTGCAAAGATACGAGTTTCTGATGGATGTGATGTTTGTCTGAGCACCCAACAGGTAATAAAAGTTATTCCCTGGATAAAAAGGGAACAATTGGAAAATAAGCGCTCCTGGGATTAATCTAGTAGAAACATGGAGCGAGGCGGGGGTCATAATTTCTCTGCATTGTTATAATCTTGAGAATAGTTCACAAAATTCAACTTCATTTCTAAAAAAAACAATGCAGGTGTTAAATTGTTTTCTTTCTAAGATGGCACTGAATTTTGAACAGTATAGGAAAATAAACTGATCCAAAGATTAGATAATCATTGAATCATCAGTGAGGTTGAATTCAGGAGAAGATCTGAAGAGAAAGAATCCTAAGAGACCAAGTGAGTTTATTTAATATTGCTTAGTGTACCTTTATGTGTGATAAAGATAACGTAAGCTGCTGATGTTCAAAATTATACATTAAAATCACTTTTGTGAAGGATATGGTAAGTGGCTTTAATTTGACTTTTGTTTAATTCTGTAAAGCTAAAGTATCTCATTCTTACACTATTTTATGTTGGAAGTAAAACAAACTTTTGCACATAGAACAATGTCAAGGTCATGTACAAGTCCAACTGATTAATTGGTAAAATTAAAAATGTGAAAAACAACACTTTGTTTAATTTTAATTCAAAAACAAATAAAACAATAATCAACTTTTATTTTTTTTGTCTTTTGGTTGTCAATTGAAAATGGAAAGGAGGAATGATACATGGATTAAGACTGTACACCATTTTAATTTGATTAAAGAAAAATGCCTGAGACTCTTTTTGAATCTACAATAAAAAGTTCAAATTATTTTTACACATGCAAAACTATAAGAATTCACTACTTTTCATATTTTGAATGTTATTTAAAAATATTTTGCTTTGAATGCTTTCAACTTGCCAATTTTAGCCAGAGAACACTGAGTATAAACTTTTAGAAATAAGGGGATGAACTGACCTGGGACCCGTTTTAGGATAATGTCCTGGATATTGATTTGAAACTGAAAAACTCACCACAAATATGCCTCCAGCTCCAGCTCGAGTAGCAGATCGATGCAAACTTCTGACCTGCCTGGCCTGCAATGCAGAGTTAGACAGGTAAAATATAAATAATCAAAAAATAAACTAACCTACAAACATATATATGCTTAGTTAGCTAGATTAATTACAATCCTATTCACTGTCAAGTCTCTCAAGTCTTTTTAAACTGATAATTTGGAAAATAAAAAAACAGTAAATATAATGCACTACAAACACAGAACCACTATTTGCAGCAACATATTTGTATATCTCGGCTCTGTTTAGTTTGTACTTTATTTTAAAATGGAGTCTGCACACAAGTCCTGTTTCTATACAAAACTATATGATGAATTAAGCGCATCATACTATCGAGAATAAAAAGACATGCTGATTGTGTGAAAAAATGTCAGCCTTAGGGTATGAATGTAAAATAAATGCTAAAAATGTAGCATATGTCCAAATATTATTGTTTAAGAACCTCAACCATCATAGCACATAAACAAGAATAGCAGAAGTCACTCATTCAACCACCGGTATCATTTTAAATTATACATTATTTACTTAAATTATTGTATGAACGACGTTTCACATGGGAGCATAAAACAATATTTAACATTTAATTACGAATGGCACGGTTCTAATACATATACAGGCATATTTATTTGCTTAGCTTGTAAATCAACACCAAAAACTCTCCTGTTCAGCTGTAAATCCGAAATAAATCACACAAATCATTAACGTATCGATTCCGTCTGCAAAGATGTACGTTAGGAGCAAATACGCCTTCATACAGTCTTGTTTGTCAAGTTATCAAATCGTAAATATCTGATAGCTTGATGCTAAGCTACATAGCACTGTGACTGTTATCAAACGTTGCTTAGCCTAGCTTAGCCTAGCCTAGCATAGCATTGTAGTCCGAGCTACATGCCCTTGTGAAGAGTCACAGCACTTCCTCTCCATTATGCCGAGCAAACAGTTTCTGATTGAGATAGTCAACATTTGCGAAAAACCCCAAACTTACCGCCTGCGAAACAGCAGAGCGGACAGCAGAAGATAAAAACATCTTGAAGCTTCGAGTTTGTGTTAGCAGCGGAAGGACGGGACAGCAGCGGCGGTCATCAACACCGTCGCTCGATTAGTAGGGTCTGACGTCATGTGCTGCGTTTCTCAGTTTCTGTGTAAATCAATCCCAGATTGACCTCAAACTGTTAAGACAGCCGCTTATTTTAAAAGGTAGTTTTATAAAGTATAAATTTTTTATGAATTGGCAATGTATACATACACTGATTGAATATAATTTAATAAAGTGGCATCTTTTCTAAAAATGAAGTATAATTAAACTAAGTAAGTACTGTGTTAAAATGTTTTTACTAGAGTTTTAATACATAGTTTATCCAATAGTTTTACTTTCTGAAGCAGAATTTATCAGCTTATTTACACAATCCCATGTAAGGTCATTGTAAATCATCTCAAATAAATGTCAAAAACAGAAAATTTGACATTTTATATCTAAAATGAACACATTGTAAACTAAGCCAGGGATGTCGTAAGTCTGAATGTCTGTCACCCTTCACTTACATTTCAAGAATGACACAAATTTGTCCTCTATGTCATCAAATCTGCTTGGAATTATTTTATTAAACTTGGCTAAACACAACAACTTGTTTCAAGGAATAGCCACTGAAATCCTTATTTTATTGCTCAGAAACATTTTGTTCTATTTTCCAATTGACAACAAAAAAAACCCAAATGTATTTATTTTAATAAGGGAAACCTGAAAACCCCTATTTAACTTTTGCCTCTATAATAATTTACACATCCATTTCCACCAACAAATCGAACAATTTTATTTGTATAACTAAAGCGTCACATGCTTAATTGCTCAATGGCTTATCACAGCTGTGTTCGAAGTTTCAAAGTTTTGCAGGCCAAAACCCACAAATCTTTGGGGGGCCAAAATATTAAGTACATTTAAAATGCAAAAATGTTTGTTTTTTCCCCCTTTGTTTTTTTGAGCTTTACTTGCTTGATTATAACCTTTTTATTTCTGAAATCTATGAATCCTTAAAGATCCTAAACTTTGTTTAAATCAATAATTCCTTAACATTGATCTTAAAGAAGTACTTGTTCCATTGGCAGATTATTTCACTTACAGCAATACATCCATCCATTTTATAACACCCTGCCAGTGGAACTGGTACCTTTCCACCAATATTAAAGACTTATTGACTCACAAGATCCTATGTCTTGCTGAAAAGTTACGTGCAAATAGTACGCTTGAAAAAAGACAAAAATAATATATTTGCACTTGAGAGTAGACTAAAAATACTTGGTAAGATTTTGTGTTTATTGTAATGAAGAAAAAAAAGAAAAACAATCTATTTAAAAATGTTGGGGTCATCAGTTGTTTTCTAATTGGTTGGGACAATTTTTACCAGTCTTACGGTTCGTGGGGCGATCAAAATCATTTCAAGAGCCACAAATGGCCCCCGGTCAGTTTGGACCCCCCTCATATACCAGTAAAAAGCTGCTGCTCCCGGAGTGTTTTTTCCTCATGAGTGCATTACCCTTCCTGTGAAAACAAACATCAGCCTGAATCCACAGCACTCATCATGCAGCACACCACGCCTTCTTTCTCCTCCGCCAGCCTTTGGCTTGGAAACATAATGTGATCAGCATGCCAGTGGAGGCCCATCCAACCAAAAAGTGGGAGTGCTCCATCCCGCGAGCCGATTGGCTCCCCTGACACTAAGCAGATTGAGGGAGCAGTCTGCAGATCCGAGATTAGAGGTGGGTCTTTATGCATGCTGAATTGTGTTGCTTCATTGCAGGAGGCCTTGTTCTCACTTCATTCTGCAGGATTCACCAGAAGAGACTCGACTTGTCTGTCTCTGCCTCCATAATGGTTGTTCCTGAATCTCAAGGAGAATTGTATCACCCTCCTCCTGACCTACAGACGGATGCACATGTGCCTGATTTCAGCTCCTATGTGGAAATGTACAAGAAGTCTCTGGAGAATCCAGAAGGTAGGTCAGACTCCCCGCTTCTCTGGGCCTCTAAATCCCAAACCGTTTCAGGATGAGGATGATTTACCAAACACTCAAGAACCCAATAACCTTAAATCGACCCTTAATAACTCAACATGGAGATGAAAATATTAGTCTCTTAACTAGAGTACGCATAAATTACACTCAATTAAGATTAGCATTACTTCAAAATATTTTTACTTTTATTCAAGTAAAAGCTCTCCGAAAAAAATACTCGAGTAAAAACGTATTTGGTAAAAAAGTCTACTCAAGTACTGATCAAATGATCAATCATTTCTTATTTAAAAAATACCCCATCAGATGGACCAATTATTAAGTCAAGTGGAAATTTTGGTATCTTAAAGAAAAAACGATAATTCATTTGAGTGAAATAAAATATTTCCAAATCAGTTTATTTCAATAAAAAAAACCTATGAAATTACAGGTGTGTCTTGAGTCTGGTGGAGTTTTGGTTAAAAAATATTTGTTTTTCATTCAGTGGGTAGAGAACCCAGAAATTTTAGTCACGAGTAGCCAGATAATAAAATTACTCCACTACAAGTAAAAAGTACACAATAGTAAAATTAATCCTATAGGTAGAGCATTTCAAAAAAGTTACTTAAGTAAATGTAATTGAGTAAATGTAACTAGTTTCTTCCCAACTCTGCTCTTAACTCTCTTATTGTTGTCTTCTTTGTTCATTCTAATGACAAGTCTTTTGTAAATGTGACTGGTCACAACAAAGCTATGAACAAGTTGACTAACCCTAACCCTGACCCTAACCCTGACCCTATTTTGAGTCATTTACAGATTCTGAAAATAACTCAAAATAGGGAAAATAACTTGAGCTGACGTCACGGTCAAATAAACGGCGGTTCACATGCAGTACCTCGACGACCACGAGGGTGAAGCCGCGGACCACCGCAGTTTGAAAAAGACTGCAGTATTTCAATACATTTCACCCTAAAACGAGTCTTAAAATGTGAATTTATTTCAGCGTTCTGGAAGGAGGTTGCAGATGAGTTCTTCTGGAAGAAACCAGCCACTGGTCCAATGCTTCAGTACAACTTTGACGTGACAAAGGGCAACATATTCGTCAAATGCATGGAAGGAGCCAAAACCAACATGTGCTATAATGTCTTGGACAGACATGTAAGGGAGGGGAACCTCGGCGAAAAGGTCGCCTATTACTGGTAAGCAAAACATTTTTAAAAAACTCACCAGGATGAAAAATAGAAAGGTACTGATATGAACCAACTGCTGGCAACTACACTACAAATCCCACTTAGCAGCAGCAGGAATGTCAGGGCCTCAGTTTCAGGGTTGGAACAGTTTTAGGGTTTCCATTGTAGTTTCGTTTCATTGTCACTTTCTGTGTAATTTAATTCATTTTAATTAGGTTTTAGACTGTGCTTGCTTGGTTTTATTAGTTAAATATTTTTTATATTGACAATACATTTTTGTGATCAATGATCATATTGGTGTTTCGAGTCTCTTTTCAAGTAATATAATGGTAATAGTATAATGTAAGGACACATTCGCAAAAATTAATTAACGTTAGATTCTAATTAATATTTAACACTAGAACTGGAAGACATTTTAATCATCAAAAATAAACAAAACAGCAAACAAAATTAATTCAAAAATGACTGTAAACAAAATTGTCGGTCAATTAAACGGCTTGGCGAGGCCAAAGCACCAGACTGAAGACTTTTGCTATCCAGTTTTTGGTAGAAAGAGAAAAACAATAAATAAAGCAAATAAAATTAAGTTTGTTTTAATGTATTATGCTATTAATTGAATTATTGCATATTTCAATTGTAAACTGAATTATTGTTTTGTTTTAGTTTAGCATTTATTATCCATGTTGGTAGTTTTAATTCTTTCATACTTTGCTTAATTTTCAGATGCAGAAGTCAAAAAGTAAAAGTTTTGTGATTAGTCACACACCGGGAGCAAACACTCAACAGTATTTATTGATTTTTGAAATTATGCAATTATTGTTGAACAACTGACTGACTCTGGTATTTATTCCTAACCTTTACTGCCACCATTTTGCAGACTCCTGTAAACTGCTCATATGTGAAAAAGAGAAATAGAATCATAAACATAAAAACTAAAGATATTTTATCTACAATTTCAGTAAATTTTAGTTTTATAAACACTCAGTACAGTTATAAAGTTTTTCCCCATTAATTACAATTAGCAAAATTGTTTTCTCAATTTCAGTTTTTGTTATTTTGTTGATTGTAGTTGCTCAGTTATCCCACTTTACATCCTTTTCAGCTTTTTTATACCTGAGGTACTTTCTATTGTTTCTGCAACAATACACATGAAGGCAGATATTTGCTTTGTCAACTGCAGAAGCTTTTGCAAACAAGAAGCAGTTGCTCTACCAGCTCAGCAGCATCGGGGTTCAGTAGAACACACTGCTGACCGTCCAAGCATTTTAAAACTGTTTGCACCAAATAAAACAAAACACAATATATGTGTTGGCTGCAAAAGCTTTTCCTGCACAGTTCTCAGAGAGGTAGAATGGTCGATCCGCCAGCTTTCAGCAGTTGATGGTTTGTTTTGACCATCATCTAAACTGTTATGACTAAAAGTCGGATTTTAAAACAGCACGATGACAAAGTATTTAAATATCTGATTAAGGCTTTAATCAGACAAAACAAAACAAAACAAAGGAAAGTGCAGAAATATGCAGGAAGATGTTTAGCTGAAAATATTCCAAACACAAAGTATTTTGACTCTTTCACAACTACTGTAGCTTTAATCACATGAACAAAACATTTCCCATGCAGATAAAATGAAGTAAATTTAATTAATATATAAATAAATCTACAACTTAGCTCTTGCTGTCTACTTGGCTAGCTAGCTGCATATCTTGCTAGCTAGAGAGCTAAATAGATAGTGTTAAGAATTAAAAAGATGAAGAACTTGATCTTAGCTCGTTAATTAATTCTTAGTCCCGAATTCCTGTGTCTGTGTAAGTGTGCAGAGAGAAAAGAGCAATCATACGACGTCAGACTTCAGATATTCAGAGTTTTATCCAGAGAAAATCAATCCAAGAAGAACTTTACAATAAGCCTCTCACCTAGAGCAAAAGTCCAAGATATTACAAAACAGAGACAAAGAACTGAGTAAAAAAGACAAAAGTATAACAGAAGATGCATCCTCCGGGAAACTCTCACCCAGCACAAAGAGATTCCAACTTCTGCTGTGAAACAAACCATTTTTTATAGACTGCATATTCTCCTCATTTAAATATATGCATTAGGAGGTGTGTTCTTTTCCTTTGTGTGGGCTGTCTCAATGTTAATTTTATTACCTCCTGCTAAAGAGCCCCAAAAGCAGATATACGGCAAACCCTTCTCGTATCAGCCGCTGTCCAGTTTGATATATGATTGCAGCTGCAGCGCTATCTGTGCCTCAAAATGTTTCCACAAGAAAGTAGTTTGTATTTTTAACCAAGCTTGCACAAAATGTAATGCTAAATAATGACTATAAGTTTGGATCTAATAAGTAACTAATTAAAAACATTCTTAAAGAAATATAGTAAATTCTAATATAGATAAAATTATTTATAAAAAGTTTTAAGATCCTAGTGAACTTTTGAACCATGCTAAGGAATTTGTTAATTGCCTGGCAGACAGACTCTCTGTCTAAAGAGATTCTAGGCCTGTCTTTTCTGTAGAATTTATATAAGTTCAGAGATTCAGCAGTTGTTTTAGTTTGGATCTTTATCTCAATTTATGTGAATGTAGAGTGTACTTTAACTTTCTATGGTATATTTCATATGTATCAAAACTATCCTGTGCAGTATTGTGCTAATTTAAAATATTATTTCAACAATAGCATGCTGCATAAAGCCATCCAGCGATCTGTCAATCTATCACTCCAAATTAGCAAGGTTTGTAGCTAGATATTTGCTTAGATAGCTGGCTGTGTGGTTAGGCAAGCTACATATAGCCATTTATTGAAATGGGGACCAAGCTAATTACAGCACAGCTCGCTACAGATTTTTTAAAACTTATTTATTAATCATATTTATTAACATTTATAGTGTTAAACATTAGTAAAAGGTAGCAAACGCTAACATGTTAAACCAACTTACATTACGCTATATTATTATGACAAAATTGCTACAATTTGTGTAATTTAATATCAATACCAAGCATAAATACATATATATTGCAAGAAAATGAGATTGAAGCAGGACAACAAATGACAAAATGGTTCAAAAGTCTCTACATTCACTCTCAAATTTGTTTATTCAAATGAAAGCAATATTTTAATGCAAAAAGAGTGTCTGAAGAAAGTCATGGAGGGACAACAATTGTTTAAGGATAAAAAGAATGGGTCCAATAAATAATGTCATCATTTTGTTATTCAACAGTAAAACACTAACTGGACTGCTGAACATACTTAAATAACAGCTGCTTTTATTTTACTGTAAAGTCAGACAGTTTGAGACTTCAGACATGTCACATTTTCCATCCCATCACTGATTCCTCATTTATTCCATCACAATTTTCAGTCTGATTCCACAGGTTTTTGCATTGCTGTCCTTCATCAGCGTCTTACTATGAATCTGTCTGCTGCCTTGCCAGGCACAATGTCAAGTGGTTTTGAAAATAGCTGACCTGACAAACATCCAAGCCAAATATAGACTTGGTAACAACTAGCCCTGATTGACTCCACTATGATCACCACAGCTCTCACAATGCTGGACCATTTTGGTTATTTAACCTGTTTTATGTGTACCAATGCAGTTTCCTGACTAATAGATGCTGAATCTGTCCCTCTCTGGTTCAGTCAATATAATAAAAACTGTAGGTTTTCAATGAGTATTTAGAGTAAATCTCACATTATTTTTGTCAGCACATTATTCTTTAGAATGCTACATGAATGAAATACAGAAATAATTGTTTTGTTGTTTTTACAGGGAGGGGAACTCACCTGAACATCACACAACTATCACCTACGGACAGATGCTGAGTCACGTCTGCCGCTGTGCTAATGTGCTCAAGAGAATGGGTGAGAAAATCACCTGAGTAACTGAAAATGACAAATTCTACACAATATTGAATTTCTGACAGCTTCAATGTAAAGCTCACTTTTTGAATGTAGCCTTAAAGTAACATTAAACTAAATTACATTTTTGTTGATTTTACTCTGCTTCCCATTGCTATTTGCTAGCTATTTGCTAGAACACCAGTCTCACATAATACAAAGTGTCTTATGTGAGAGGCCTTTTCAGAATAGAATATTTTTAATTAAATTAGAATTTAACTAACACCATAGATATGCTTCTAACGTTCTTACTACCTAAGTAATGAGATAGCTAGCTAGCTAATCACAAAGCTTGCAAATCATTAGCTATATAGCTAGATATACAGCTAATAACAATAAAGCTAATTACATTGAGTAATTAGCAATCTATATATCTTATTACTTAAATAGCTAAGTACTTAGCTTGCTAGCTTTACACATATAGTGATAATATATTTAGCTAGCTAGCTATATAGCCAATAAAATAGCAAACTAAACATAGAGCTAGGTAAATGCAAAGCAAAATTGCTAGCCATCAACATTAGCAATAAAAAAATTCACACCTTAAAATACATTTTATAGCGTAAATAATAGAAATACATCTATGGACAGATAGCTAGCTTGCTAGCTATCTATTTAGTTTGAATGTAGTTAGCTGTCAATCTAGCTTAATCTGTAGCTAGGTGGATAGCCACTAAACTACAGGCCATCAACAGAGCGAACATTTAATTAGATAAATATGATGTATTACCAAACTGATACATTTGTGAGGGAAATAATGTAAAAAGGTTAAAAACCAAATACCGTTTGCCATGTCATCCAATTCTGGCATCCAGTTTTCCTGGTTAGAAGTAGATCAACAGCCCAGATGTCAACTATTCGTTCTCATATTAAGCTACAATCATAATTCAGCTTTAGCTGAACTGTTCCTCTGACAAACATCGTTTTTAAATGTAACCTTTCAAACTTCGAAAAATCTGTTTTTGTACTTAACAAGGAGTGAGAAAGGGAGACAGAGTGTCCATCTACCTTCCCATGATCCCAGAGCTCGTCTACACCATGCTGGCATGTGCACGGATAGGAGCCGTCCACTCTGTGGTGGTGAGCATGGGCGCCGCTCAGGTTGTAAAATGAGTAAGAAACTGTGGAAAATGCACACAAACCTCCTCTTCTACCTGGGTGTTTGCTGATTAATTAGGCTATTTTAAGCGTTCTTAGCACAATTTTGTCCTAGAAGAGTCCAGGCGATGCCGTAATTACCAGTGTAGAGGAGCAACAGACTTCAGTTGGGTGTAAAGCAGTAGTGCGGTGAAAGGTTTTCTATTGTTTCACATTGATTTTTGGTGAATGTGATTCATTTAACACTTAGAAAACAAAACCCAGACTATGGTAATTATGTTTCTGGTGCATGGCTGAAAACTATTGGAGAAGACTGGGACCGCTGAAAAATGAGTTCAGAGAATTTTGACTTTAATTTCAGAATTTTGATTTAAAAATCTGAATTCTTATTATGATTCAAAGTCTCAGTATTTTGACATTAAAGTCAGAGTGTTGCTTTTTTTCACAGAAGTTTCAGAAATATGAAATTAACAGAAATTATTAAACTAATTTAATTCTGATTTTAATTTGGAAATCAGGACAAATTTCAGACATCTGACATTAACGTCGCCTGTCATGATGATAAATTTTGCTGAACAATAAATTTTCCCAAAACTTATTGCAATAAACAATAATATTGGTGTCTTTGAGACCATTTTTGAAGTAATACAATCGTAATGTTGGCAAAATAATACATGACGACATTCTTAAAAATCAATCAATTTTAAATTATAATTAACATTTAACACTAGAAATGAGAGATAATTTAAGTAAACAAAATAAACAGCCCAAACAACAAATTATGAAGTTTCTGTAAACAAAATTATCCTTCAAAAAAAGGGCTAGTTGATAACGAAATAGCAGACTGAAGACTTTTGTTGTCTAATTTTTGGTAGAAAAAAAAAAGAAAAACAATAAATCATTCAAAATGACGTCATTTATCACATTTATCATGTGATAAATGAAAATAAGCAAAATAAGCAAATTTATTGCAATTTATTGTGGTTTATTTTCTGTTTCGGTAAAAACGCAAAACTGGGGGAGTAAAAAAAAACTCCACTTGCTCTATTGTTAATTATGATTTGAACAACAAATTAAAAATCAGTTTTTCTTCTTGTAAAAATCCCTTTTCCCACCTCCTGTGAGAATCCAAATATACATTTTTGGTCTCATTTTGTTGTCTAAGGAAATCTCTGCTCCATAAGTTGATGCTGTCCTCATTTATACAAACAACCATGTTGCAAGTTGCTGCTCTGTCCCCATTTTCACAGAGAAAGCCTCCGTTTCTGTCAGCGCAGACTGCCGCACTCCAGCAGTTATCAGCTGTTTTCTGTGCGAATGTGCAACTGACAACACCTGCACTCTGTAAATGGGTCAGACACGACTGGCTGCTTCCAGCTCAGGAAAGCTATTTTAGCGATTTAACCTTCCGCGTCCACGCGTAGGTTAGCGGCCGTGTTAAAAATAAACGCAACCCTCCAAGGTGAACTCTGCATGGCCAACAGAGGCCTGATTTTGGCAGACTGTTACATTTTCTCCGAGGTTTGAGCCAATATAATTCATTATTATTGATCTGGTTGGGATTGTTGCTGATCACTGTGAATAATCATGAAGATATTCAGACTCAGGCGAGGAAACGCAGCGACATTCTGCTGAGTCCAGAGCCTGTCGTGACCTGAAGCGCCGCCATCAACGCTGAAACTTTACACTCCATGAACTGTTGACCTTGGCCTGAGAACAAGATGGCAGCCGTCTAAAAGAGCAGCCAACGGCTCATTATGTAAGATTAGACAAGGTTATTCAGCTATAAATGGGAAGAACAGAGTGCCATGTCTTCTGAAAACTTAATTATAAAAAACACAAATACTTTGTGCTGTACCTAACTTTTTACATTGTGAGAAGATTGTAATTCAACAACAGACAAATAAATATTGAACATAAACATATAAATCAGAATAAACAGCCCGAGTTAAGGACCGAGACGATTAATGACAATTGGTGCAAAAACAAAAATAGTGTTGAGAATTATCCAGAAATGTTTGAGACCTGAAGTAAAAAAATATATATATTTTGTGGCAGTGAACAGGTTGCAGAGAGAGAGGACTGCGACCGAATTCAGACGACCATATCAACGTGTCAGAAAGTTGTAGTTTCCAATGCAAATGCGTGGCTGCTGCAGTCGGTTTGCAGCCGCGTTACGTTCCCAGGCTCTGAGGGAGAGCAGTCAAAACAAACTGTAAGAAAAGAAACAACAGCTGATGGGAAAACTCCAACGCTCATCCGATGAATAATTTAACGGAACCGTTGAATTTAATTAGTGTTAAAAACACTCAAGTAGGAGGAAAAAGCAACAGTTTAAGGCATTAAAGTCTCAAATTTGTTTTATCCAGCAGATCTGGATGTCTGTAATTAGCAATAAAAATAAGATGTGTGCTGATTTTGTAAAACTTTCTTTAGAAAGGCAACTAACAATTTAGTAATTGAGCATTCTATCGATTGTTTTTGACGATTAATTGGTTATCCGATGATTAATTGGATAATCATATAAAAAAATCCACATTCTGCAAATTTTTTATTGAAAAATTTAAACCTTTCTTATAAAATATTAGAAGTGCATTCAAAGATGCAAATAAACAAATTATTTGATTCCTTTTTAAATAACATTTTATTCCCAAAAAGCCAATGACATAGCATTCCTTTAGTGGATGCTTGACTTTTTGTATTAAAAACAATATTACTAACATCTTCATGTGAAAATCTGAGCCTTTTCTACTCACCATCAATACAGTTTAGGACTGATCTGTTGATTGATTTTTTTAGTTACCGTGTCAGGCCTATTGACGATTATTTCAAAAATAAATTATTCACGATTAATTGCGATGAATCATTCAAGAATTATTATTATGGAATGAACTTTGATTACTTCATAGTTCATTTCCGTTTTTTATGCTGTATTGTTAATTTACTTTGGATTTTTAAAATGTATTCCAGTTCCAGTTTAATTATAATGTCTATTAGGATTAAGAGTTTATTGATCTCCGACAAGGTGATTACATTATGATTATGCCATTAGCAATATAATGTGTTTGAAAATGGTTCAAAACTTCAGTTTATCGCAATAACTTATTTTTTTTCTAGTAAAATTTGTAATCATGACTGGCCTATTGACAACTGTTTAAAAACCAATTAATCATGATTAATTGTGATAAGTCATTCCGGTATTATCATTATAATTCTGTTCAGTTTGCAGGATTCTCCTCAGAGTCTCTGTGTGAGAGAATAATGGACGCCGAGAGCAGCGTTCTGGTCACAGCAGGTACGGTAGGCTGCAATCGTGCTGCAGCAACTCGCAGGCTGCAAAGCGACACTCATCTGTTCAGTTTCACACCTCATCATATGCTGCACATCCCTCACCCACAGATGGTGTTTACCGAGGAGACAAACTGATCAACCTGAAGCAGATCTCCGACGAAGCGCTGGAGAAGAGCAGGGAGAAGTAGGTTTCCCAGTTCCCAGCAACCAGTCGTATTTACATAAGCCGCTGCTGGTAATGGGACGTAGAGTGCAGTCAGCTGCTATCAGAGTGGCTGCAAACAACAGACCGCCAGGGTTTTAGATTACCAGGTTGCTGGGCAACATGGAGCACTTAAATCCATCAGGAAAAGCCCGAGCTGCCCGTCTCCAATGGGAACAAGCGCCGGAGAGGGATGTGAGCGAAAAGGCAGAGCATGCTGGGAAGGGTTATCAACCGAGGGACACAAAGAGTCACAGGTGCAGATGTGGGTTTGAGACAAAAGACTGGAACAAAACACCAACATGAATCAGATAAAAACACGACTTTGAGGAGAGATTTCAGTCCCTAATCAACTGTGTGTTGCATTTTATTAGTCGATATTACAGCTACAACTAATGATTATTTTAGTTATCGATAAATCAATCTTTTATTCTGACGATTCATCAATCAATCTGATGATGAATCGATTAATTGGACATAAAAAAGATCACTCTACAGATTTTTTCTAAAGCTTTTTATGCAACATTAGAAATTAATTTAAAATATGCAAATAAATTCTTTTTATTTTTATTACGAAAAACATTTTGTCTAAAAACAAAATGCTTGACTTAATATCAATACATTGTGTTTGCTTTGTATTAAATAATTCATAGTTTGAACAATTATAAATCCAACTATAGTTGGAGTTATAAAAAAATTAGAATAAAGTCAAAATTAGTACAATATATTACAAGAATAAATGAAAGTAGAGTTGAAATAAAATAAGAATAAAGCCATAAAAATATCAGGATAGTCATAATATTTTGAGAATAAAATCATAATATCACAAGAATGAAGATGTACAAAAAGAAAACAGAAATAAGTAAAAACATCAAAATAAAGTCATTATATTTGGAGAATAAAATCATATTACTAGAATGAAGTTGTATAACAAAGCGACAATAAAACAAGAATAAAGTAAAAAATTTTGGAGAATAAAGTCATAATATTAATTTATTTTTGTATTATTTCCACTTTATTCTGGTCTGACTTTATTCTCATAAAATTCTAATGTTATTGTTTTATTATTTATATTTTGTTACTGTGGCCCTACTAATATGTCGTAGCTGGATTATACGTCAATAGTTTATTTTTATTTTTTACAAAAGCTCAACCAGGTTAAAACTACGCTACTTCCAAAGTCCCAACAATCTTCCACAAGGTAAAATTTCTCATAAATGATCAGAGCCATTGTGGATATAAATGAAACTGAAAGCCATCATTCAGAAATTATCTGATAAATCAAACTGAAACTGAATCTGCAAGATGTTAAAATCTTTGAAAGCAAAGCTGCTCATTTACTCACATGCTTTTTCTTTTCTGTAATCTTTCTCACAGAGGGTCGTCTAGCATCAGAAAGTGCCTGGTTATAAAGCATGAAGCTCTCAGGACGAAAACAGGAGCTTCATGCAACAAATTACAGGTCAGCAGGTTTGAGTTTGCAGCTTTATTCTTTAAAATTAAGCCACACGGAAAACATAAGCGACATTTAGCTTTTCTGTGTACAACCCAAAAGAAAAACATTGTTTAATCTCATTCTACATTTATTAGCATCACATATTTGTCTCACAATAAAAAAACATTACGAGTCATATTATGAGAACAAAGTTTTTCAAGAATAAAGCTGTATGAGAATAAAAGTTGAAATAACAAGAATAAAGTCATAATATTGCAACTTTATTCTCACATTACAATATTATTGTATTATTCCTACTTTATTCTTGTAATATTATGACAACTTTATGCTCGTACAACTTTATTTGTAATATTGTGACTTTATTTTTATAAATATTACTTTAGTCTCTTAATCATATTTTATTTTTCTTAGTGTGGCCCTAATACCGTGTCACACACATTAATTTCCTCATCACCATTAAGTCTCCCAGAAAAAACTTTAAATTATTTCTCGCCATTTGTGGCTGCGTGTTGTGATGCCTAATCAATTGAAAACATTGCTAGATCAATAACAAGCGCGAACTAAAACACCATGTTTGTTCACACAAACAAGGAATTTTACTTTGGCTTTAGACGCACAGACATAAAAACTTCAGAGAAGGATAGCACTATGGATTTAAGTTGATGAATTTAAATGTCGAGGTTTATGTTTTGTGAATCCAGACTCCGTGGGACTCGGACCGAGACGAGTGGTGGGACGAGGCGATGAGCGACTCCTCTGAGGTCTGTGAGCCTGAATGGCTGGACGCCGAAGATCCGCTCTTCATTCTCTACACCAGCGGCTCCACCGGCAAACCTAAAGTAATGATCTCGCCAACGTATCTTTCCACCGTTTGTCAAACTAGAATCAGAGCTTAAATGGGAGCTATTATGTAAAAACCCTGCTTCTAAAAATCAGTCCAAGCGCCTTAAAAGACAAACAATCCACAAATGCATTACTTGAGCTTTGAAACCACTGCATCTTTTCAGTAGCTTCAGTACAAAATTTTTGTTTGGAATTTCAGAGTCATGCCAGAAGTTCATAGAATAAAAGATCTATGTTCATTTTACTCAAACATAAGTTTATAAAAAATAAAATCAGAGAAATTTTTCATTTTAAAAGGTCTCCTAATTTTTTCGAGAGCTTTTATTAGGTTTTACATTTATGTCTGGATTGATGAACATAACTGTATGCTTTTGTATGATTTGAACATGATTCTCTGGGATGGCCAGCATTTTTCAAGGAGGGATTATGTCCCCCGTATCCCCTCTTTTGGCGCCGCCACTGGATTTCCAAGAAATTAAATTATGTGCAGTGGCCATTTTTATTTTTGGAGATTATTTTGCATACTTTTACCTTCACCGCCACTACTTTATGTTAGTTTATCCTCCAAAATACAAATACAAAATAAATTTACATTTCTGGGTGAAAAGTGGCTAGATATTGGGTGTGAGGGCTTTTCCTGGACAACACAGAAAACCTTGATCCGCCTCTCTTTACTAACTCAGACTACCTCTTTAATCACAACAGGGTGTCGTCCACACCGTCGCTGGGTATCTGCTCTACACCTTCCTCACCTTCAAGTGCGTTTTTGATTATCACCAGGACGACGTGTACTGGTGCACAGCGGACATCGGCTGGATCACGGGTCACTCATACATAACCTACGGTCCTCTTGCAAACGGCGCCACCAGTGTCCTTGTGAGTAAATGTCAGAACATCGCCCCGACTCCAGTTTCCGTTCCCTACGGCCTAAATGGTTTCGTCTGATTCCAGTTTAATGGAATCCCGGTCCACCCGCATGTCGGGCGGTTCTGGGAGATCATAGAGAAGTACAAGGTGACCAAGTTTTACACGGCTCCCACTGCCATCCGCCTGCTGATGAAGTACGGACAAGAACCGCTGCAGAAGTCAGTTGCTGCCGTTTAATGTATCCCTTTTATGGAAAGGATTCAAAATGTATTCACCAAATATTAAAATGTAGTATTTATTTGTTGGTTTATGATTTATTTTACTTCATAATTTTAAGACTTTTTTTTCTTCATCTTTTGGTTATTTTCTAACCCAGTGATAATAATCAGATCATAATCTTGTTTTTTTCTGCTCTGAATACAAAACACTTTGTATTTAATTTCCCTTTGGGATCAATAAAGTATTTTTGAATTAGATTTTTTTTAATTGAATATAAAATTTCCATTTTCTGTTTACTGTTAAATGACTTTTTCATCTTCATAGCAGTTAGTCTTATCCATTTGCTTTTTTTACTTCATAATAATAAATTTGTCTCATCTGTCCATTTTTTATAATTTCTAGTTTATAATTTCTCTTTTTATAGTAATATTCAATTTCTATTTTCCGCTAATTTCTTTATTCTTTCATAAATCACTATTTGTTGTTTCTGGTGTTTTCTTCATTTATTTTGGATGTCTGAAATGGCTTTCAGTTCCAGTGTTAAATGTGCATTAAAATTTAAAAGTATATTTTTGAGAATGTGTTTTTTCATAATTACTATTATATTTACTTCAGAATGATCCTAAAACAATATTATCGTTTATCAAAATAAGTTCTGGGAAAATTTATGGACCAGCAACTTTTGTCATCGTGACAGGCCGACAAATGAATATTCCATACTGAGTAGATATAATCAATGTCAGTTTTCTTTAGTTTTTTTTTTTTTATGTGTCCAGGTACGACCTCTCCACCCTGAGGATTCTGGGTACTGTAGGCGAGCCGATCAATCCCGAGGCGTGGCAGTGGTACTACGAGACTGTCGGTCAGAGCCGATGCCCCGTGGTCGACACGTTCTGGCAGACGGAGACGGTGAGAGAATCGCACTGGAGCAGATGACCAGAACTAGCTTTCTACTGTTGCTGAATATTTTGGTGCAGTATTTTCATCCTCCATCCAGTTTCCACTCTCCGTATTGATGCTTTTCATGCTCTTTGGTGTTTCAACTATTAAATTAATATTTATGTAACCTGGATTCCCACTAATTGATGTTATGACAGCAACTGTGGTTCAATATGTTGTGGTCATTGTTAGATTATGTGTGTGTCGATGTATTAGTGATGTCTTGTTGTTTTTAAATCTTCTGTAGGGAGGTCATGTTTTGACGCCTCTACCTGCCGCCACGCCTTTGAAACCAGGATCAGCTGTAAGTGACACGACTTACTCTGATCAGTTCAAGTAAAATCAAAATGTTTAAAAAAAATAGAATATTACAACAATTAGTACTTTCATAGCCGTTGCTAGATCCGACATATGGCAGATATTTATGTTTTATGACCAGGTTTTTATTTTTTAAAGCTTTTCTCAAGGCAGCAAAAGGAAGCTCTGGATTTTCAGATCAAAATCTGGATGTTTTAGGAGCTAAAAGCAACTCTAGACCTTCGGATCTTATCAGTTTTTTAATTCACAATGAAGGTCTGATTGAAGAATAAATGAGGATTCTTCATTTAATCAAGAAATTACAGACAATCCTAAGCATCCTGTTAATGAGAATGTTAACAGTGTCTTCAGTCAGAGGCACCTTCTGATACGCTGTGATACAGACTGTTACAGGAGATCCATTTGAGGCCTCATATTCACTGACGTGATGCATTTCTGGTTTTAAACCGGTAAAAAAAAAATAATAGAGATTTTGTCATTTCAAGTATTCTTGTTAGTAATTAGTGTCTTATTGACCAATAAATTTGAATTTTTACATTTTAATTTGATATGAATGAGCTTCAGGTATATCACTTGCTTCAAAGCATATATTTTCTGTCAAAATTATAAATTTTAATTTATAGTAGACAAGTAAAATTGGCTACCATGGTATTTGAATTTATTTTGAAAATATTTTCAATCACTAAATTGTAGGATATTTTTCAATGCTGAATGTCTATCCCAATGGACATCAGGAGTTGAGTTTATTCACCAACACTTATTTATTTAGTGTTCCCATGCTGAGAAGAAAATATCTAACATTTTACAGCTTGTAATCTCACAGTACAATTTTTTATTATACCATAAGAAATGGTGCAATAACAGTTTATGAGGATAAATTGTCAAATCTTCTTGAACTTCATGTAAAAAAAATTTTTTTCCCATTTATTTCAATGCTGTAGGGGAGTAAAAATTAGTTGAATAAAATATTTTTCACTGTAGATGAAATTCAGGCTAAAGAAACCTGCATAACAAAAGTTGCATTTAATTTTCATTTGGGATGAATAAAGTCTTTTTGAGTTGAATTTCTGAATGAAAGAAGTGAGTTGACTTATTTTATATTTCAGACATTTCCTTTTTTCGGAGTAGAGGCGACCATTTTGAACGAACATGGAGAAGAAGTGGAAGGCGAGGCTGAAGGTTATCTGGTAAGCTTCCCGGCAGAACCAAACCATTCTGGATCTCATATCTGACCTTTAAGAAAGGTCTTCATTTCTAAATTTAAAGCTAAAAACGTATGGAATTGTGAATTTAAATGTTATGCATGAGTAAACGAGTCTCTCTTCCTGTTCAGGTTTTCAGAAAGCCCTGGCCGGGAATAATGCGCACAGTTTATGAAAACCACGAACGCTTCGAAAACACCTACTTCAAGAAATTCCCTGGCTTTTATGTGACTGGTGACGGTGAGTCGTCAAAATAAAATGGTCCCGTCAACAGACTCCACATCTCTGTTTCTGACAAGGTCACGGATGTTTAGTTTTTAAAGCTCTTCTGGAGGTTATGCAGCTTGTTTTTTACTTTTCAGGCGCCAAGCGGGATAAAGACGGATACTTCTGGATCACAGGGAGGATAGACGACATGTTGAACGTGTCAGGTAGGTTTCAGAAAGTCACACCTTTTCTTTCGACCTTGTGCTCAGTTTGACTTTGGCTGCACTCACAAAAGTCAAATGGGAATTCAATCATTACAACAAAAAATCTGATTTGTGCAACTTTCATATGTGGAACTTATCAAATGCAGATAAAGTTCTAACCATTTGTTTATCTGGTTTATCGATATATTCTGACGCAAGCAACCCCTTATGAACATTCGCGAACTTTATGTGGCAGAAATTGAAGGCGAGTTTGACGCCCCTGCATTAACAGCTCCGTCCATTATTACATCGGCAAACAGCTGTGTGGCGTCACTTCGTCAACAGTCTCACTTCTTTCACACAGAAATGACATTGTGTGCGTTTTTGTCTCATCCTTCAGGCCACCTCCTGAGCACAGCGGAAGTGGAGGCGGCGCTGACACTGCACTCGGCCGTATCGGAGGCCGCCGTGGTGAGCCGACCTCACCAGGTGAAGGGAGAGTGCCTCTACTGCTTCGTCACCCTCAAAGACAGTCGGGAGTTCGACAAGAAGATGGTGGCGGAGCTGAAGACGCTGGGTGAGGCTCAAACCCAAACATGGGGATATTGGTGGGAGAATATAGCTACATGCTCAAACTGACGAAAAGTAACAAAATCATTTTAGTCATATTGATTTTACTGCAGCCTATTAATTATCCTCTTCAATAAACCTTTAAATCAGTGTTTTTCAAACTGAGAACCACTTACCCCATTTAACAAACACTGACTGATCACCTAACTAGAAATTGCCATGCATCTTTGTATTTACAACCTGAAATGAAATAATGTGAAGGTGGCGCTGTTTTGTAAATGTGAAATGAACTAGTCAACTTGGAACGTTTTGAATTATTTAAAGTTTATAATGATGGAAAGCACAAGGAAATCAAAAGGTTTTTTACTAAAAGTGTTGTGAGAACTAGTGATGTTTTAGGGCTATTAGTAATTTGGAACCATAATAAGAGAAAAGAAGATTTGAGTTGCTATGGCAAAAATAAACACTTTCTTTCAGCCAGTAGATAGTCAACATAAATAGTTTTATTTTAGGTGTTAAGATGCAGTGGAAACTGCATCTTAATAAAACTGCCCATGGACCAGTTTTAGACAGATTGCTTTAGAGATACAAAATATAACACACGATGTTCGAAATATGATGTTTGATACACAACATATGACATGCAACAGGCTATATACCATGGACAATGTACGATAAATCAAGCGCAACATGGAATAAATTACATAAAATATTGAATATACAATATTTGCCACATCATATACGATGCTATATATTAGACTAGCAATATGCAGCAAACTATATGTGATATATAATACCCAATTCATGATATCTGATATTCAATTAATACTGCTGGATATATTTATATTACTTAGTTTTGCAGCCAACAGCGAGCACCGACTAAATGTACATTATATTTTAGATTTCATGAATCTAAGCAAGACGTATCATACAAATAAACACAGATAGGCATTTGGACACTGATGTATAGGTTAAAAAAATAGCTTTTTTTTACTAGAATGTTTTTTAATAATCTTTTCACCATGAACAGCAATACTCAAGATCAAATGTACTTTAAAAAATATCCTGTTTGTGTCCTTGCTGAAAGTTTGGTTCCATCATGATGCCTGAAAAGATTAAATAGGCAGTTAAAACTTTTATACAATGCAAATTCAATCCAGTTTGCTTAAAGGTATTTTATAGTGACATTTTTAAGTAACTAACACAATTAGCTCAATTATTATCACTTTAAAACTTAAAGGAAACTATTAAACAGTTTTAAAAACTCATGTTTTTCTTTTCCATTAACTTAAACATACTTAAAATTTAAATCTTGTCCAGTAAATCCGATTTTGTACTTTTATCTCAACTTGAAAAAAGGAACAATTTCTACCATTTAGATAATTTACATCAAACAGAACACTGATACATTTCTTTACACACTTTGGAAGTTAAATTAGATAAAAAAATATTTATGTATTTAGTAATATATTCTAGAGAGCTTCCAGAATAAAAAGTTTGAACTCATTAGTGAACTGATGCAGCTTCAAAAACACGTTAAAAATTTTCATTTTTTCTTAGGTATAAAATAGTAGCAATTATTGCTTTTATGTATAAAACAATGAATAACTTACTATCAATATATTATCCTAAAACCGAAACAGAAACTATATTAAGTTATATCCATAAATAATTGTTTATTTCTCACCTTTTCTGTGTCCTCTTCTTAGTAAGAGAGAAAATCGGACCAATCGCCACACCAGACTTTATTCAGAATGCCCCGGCGCTGCCGAAGACGCGTTCAGGTAACATCTGCTGCTTCCTCTTCCTCGACTGTTTCCCTATAAATCGCTCAACTCCTCCTCTTCCTCCTCCTCTTCTTCAGGAAAGATAATGAGGCGAATCCTCCGGCAGATCGCGCGCAACGAGAAGGACTTGGGTGACCTTTCCACACTGGCTGACCCCAAGGTGGTGGAGGTGTTGTTCAGCCAGAGGAGTGAGGCCGCCGCCTGAGGAGGCGCTAAGACATTTTGAAAATTACTTTTAAAGCCAAAGAAAAATTTTTCATTGTAGATTTTTGGGCCAAAGTATTGCAGATTTTATCGAAGTGATTTATTTTTCTGCTGATACTTTATGTATATTTCCACATTAATCCAGCCATAATAAAACGTGTCATCCGTTTTTTGTTGTTCCACCTTTATTCTGAGCGGCTAAATGTCGCCCCCGTGTGGCAGGAATCATCCTCTGCAGCTGCTGCCTGAAAATCCCTCTCGCTTTTCTTGCACAACAATGCAGAAAACTCTCCCACTTGCAGTTATTTCATGGAAATTAATATATAAAAGGGCTTCTTAAGGCAAGAGAGTGACAGTACTTAGAAATTGCAAACTTCAGATGATTTAAAACTGAGATAAAAGAGAAGAGAAAAAAGATATACGTCTCTTTTATGCAATCAGGAACACAGAGGAGAAAAGGACGAGAAAACGGACATGTTGCATCATTACCCCCAGCAGCCGGGCTTTTTGTAACCATGGCAACCGCCTCCTGCTCCTCCTCACATCTTCATCCCACCCTCCTCTCTTTCTTCTTGCAGATGTTTGGTAACTCGGCAGCTCCGATCCCGACTTCCATACGTTTTCAAAAAAACATCATGTGATCTGAAGATTAAATAAAATTGAATTACTACATTAATTAATTTTGTTGTATTAATTAAATTTAGATGAATAAAGTTTCAATCTATTTAAGTGGCAGCACAAAAAAAGAGAACAAGATAATTAAGAAATAAATAGTGTTTATTACATTTTTCTTTGGGATTAGTAGTGTATTTAAATTTGTTTTTAAATTTAAGCTTTAAAAACAAGTAAGAAATTGTGAAAAGAATAAATAAAAAAATAAAATTTTAAAGTTGTTCACTTTAATTTTTTTCTTTATTTCAAATTTAACTTTATTTTATATCTACTTAAATAATACGTTTGAAATTTTCCCTGAATTTTTTTCTTTTCAACTTGTTAATTTTGTCTTACATTGTATCTATTTTTCTGTTCTTTATTGACTTTTTTTCACATTTTTAAAATATAACTTTATTCATATTTTTCAGTTATTTTTTTTGACTATTTTTCTGTTTCATTATATTTAATTAATCTTGAGTCTATATTCACTTTTTTGTCTGATCTGTTCTCTTATTTATTGATTTTTTTTAATGCAGGCCTCATTAGTTTATTAGCTTTGACTGTCACAAATACTTATTTATATTGTAAAACTATATTTTTATAGCCACATCTGCAACAATAATACAAAAAATTAAAAGCATTGCTCCTGATTGTTAACATATAGTAATGGTGTCATATAGTCACCAAGGCTTTATCTTATAAAGTTGTTTAATATACATCAACTTGTACATTTAATGGTGCACTATTCTGAACCACAACATTCCCCCAGATGGGTGACTTTATGGAAGATGAAAACATTTTTCTATCTCTGTCTTCTTCTAATATTTTGGGTTTTTGTAAATTCATCTCAAAAAGACTAATAAGTTAAAATATTTAATAATTTAGTTGCTTCATTGCAGAAATCTTAAGGATTTCTTTAGACTTGGAGGTTAATAGCGACGCTCCACTTTTATGTTCCTTCAAAATTTGACTTTCTTTTTTTTTTTTTTTTGGGCTCATTATTTGTTGCTTCACACTGATTAAAAAATAAAAAAAAAAAGACTTCAAACTGCTTTGTTGCTTCCCTGAAGAATCGTCTCTGTACGCGTGAGCATTTGGGCTGCTGGGAGATGAAGCAGGCGGTGAATGAATGTGCGCTGTTGGGTTTGTGCCAGAGTCGTCCCAGGCAAACTCCAGAAACAAAAACAAAGGAGGAACTAATAAGGCGCTTAATGAAGGTCCTCTCTTTGTTTTAATCATGAAAGGCAAAGACAGATGGTGCAAACGAACTTGCAGCTCTGCTGGGTATTTTATTTGTGATCGTTTGACGAACAGATTAAAACTGCGGCAGAAAAATAAACAAACTTTCCTTCAAAACGAAGCAGTATACACAAAATACATGATTAATTAATGTTCATTCAAAAAAATATGAGCTAAATTGCAGCCACAAGGTCCACACAAACTTTTATTTTAAAACTGAAAATATATTTTTTCAAATTTGAACTTAAGCCCATCACAATAAGCAATAAATCTGTTAATTACACAATAAATTAACATTTTTCTTTTCTTCCGTTCTATGAAAAACTGGATGCCAAAAATTACCAGTGCTTTGGTTTCAAGTAGCCCTTATTTTTGAAAGAGAATTTTCTTTTCACAGGCTTCATTTATTTCATTTGTTATTTCTGTTTTATTTATTTTGAATATTTAAAATGTCTTCCAGTTCCAGTGTTAGAATTTAAGGTTCATTGATGTTTGACAATGGCCATTTTTACTATTAAATTATTTGAAAATGATCTCAAAACGACAATATTATCGTTTATTGAAATAACGTCTGGAACTATTTATCGTTCATCAAAATTTGACATCATGACAGGCGAATATGAAACTGAACAAGTTTAAAACTCCTTTTTGAAATCAACATTTCCACACCTTAAAAAAATGTCAGTTTCTATTTTTTTTCTTTTTTAAGTTTTACAAAAAGAATTAATGCAAACTTTATGGCCCCAGTTTAGCTCCATAGGATTTCCATTCCAAAGGTTCGCCACAATGTGGAAATAATGGTAATGTTAAAAAAACAGTTTCACAATTACTGTGTTCATAATATGCACAAATTAACCCAAGAATGTGGCAAAAAAGTAGTAGCTAAGGTTGTCACTTCAAAACTGACAGTATAAAATCCAGATTTTAGCATAAAATATCAGAGTAAAAACTGAAATAGATGTATTAATGTGAAGTTCTCTGGAAATAGAGAAAATATCCAAATATTGATAAAACATTAAATTTTTAGTATCCAAAAGCTGCAAATTGACATTTCAGCTCAAACGTGAGACATCACATAAACAGTGAAATAAGAGTGATGTTTCATGTCTAAACCTGTGAATCACCTGGTCTATAAACACAGTTAGCACATTAGTGGAGAACACAGGATGTCTGAAATGTTTTCCAGGAAAGCTGTCCTGCTACATGGGAAGAAATTAGATTATTCAGCAGAGGAGAAAAACATCAGCTCAGTCTCCATGATGCTTTGTGGAAAGGACGAGAAAGTAGCTTTGCTATTAGAAAAAAACAAATATTGAACAAAGCTTTGACTTGAAAACTAAAGAAAATACTTTTTCCGTGTAAAATTTAACAGTGAACAGTTTGTCTTTAAATCAGATCTCAGAAACTAGAAGCTGCCTCCTCTTAAACAGTTGAAAAACCTAACTGACGCCATTTTGTTCTATTTTAAATTGAGTTCGGTGCTTTTTAGCCAAATAATTAAACTTTAAGTTAAAATTCAAAGCTTGGAATTACACCGTCAACTGACAAGCTAAAGTGTTCTCCTACCTTAAGCTAGCAGCCTCTCTGCGGGTCTCAAGTTCTTCTTCTTCTTCGTTTTAATGGCGGCTATCGTACACTGTCAGAATAGCATACATGCAGTGAGTACGCATGCCTGCGCATGCGCAATAAGAAGTCCAACCGTCAGAGGAGCTTTCAGTTCAGCATACGCACAAGTTCTGACGAAAATAAGTCATTAAATTGTTTTCAATGACAGCTAGATAGATATACATGTATTGTCGTGGTTTAAAAGTGTATTTAAAGCAGGGTATAGTGGCAGCTACACACGCCCATGTAAAACTCATTAGCCTACTTAACCGCTAAGTCAGGATGCCATACAGCTGTTAATAGCAAAGTGTATGACGCTACTCGTCTGACAGACATAGCCGTCAGTTTGTGGTAAACGAAAAACGATCTGACAGCGTACGCTGATCTGACGGAACGCCGGACATGCAGGTTGTGCTCTGGTTGGTTAGTCCTCAAAGGGGCGGAGCTTGTCACGACAAAGTCAGTCCATTGAGAGGAGTGAGTGACATGATTGGCTGGTATAATGACTTGGCGAATTTGAATTCCAATCTCTGGGCCACAGTATCTGCCTAGCAACAAAGAAGATAATTTTGATTGGGTGAAAACCGTTTTCAAATAAGTAAGTTTACTATTGTTATTTTATTTCATTTCATTTTATTTTATTTTTACAGAAAATACTAAAACACTAAAAATAAAACTGATGCAAAGTCGGAATTCTTTTTGAAAATTTCTACAAGTCAAATATTTTTGACTTTTGAACTGAAAAAATTTCAGATTACAAAATTGTAGAAATGAGCTACCAACACATGAATGATGCAAACAGACAGACAAGAAAATAAATGCAAGAGAAAAATGCTGCAAGTCAGAAAAGAATGCTGTAATTGCAGAAAATAAAAGCAAAATCCTACAATCAACAAAAAAACTTAAAATGAAAAATGCTTCTGGTGAATTTCTGTTTATTTTTTATGTCTTGGAGTTTGAATCATTAATGTGTTTGCAGTTCATATTGCCATTGCTGCCATCATGAAACAGCCAATGTTGGTAGAAGTGATGAAGAAGTAGATCCAAGCAGTTTCATGTTGGAATATAATAGATTATATCAACTGCATAAACACAAATCGATCAAATTTGTAGAAAAACGTAAAAACTCAGCAGCTCAGTTTGCTAAGTTTAACTATTCTCTCTTTGAGTTGTTAGCAAATAGTTACCTCAATAAAAATCAAACTTTTCCTGCATGCTGCATTTATGTGATATTTTCTCTTAGTGTGTCTGTTGCTGCTCTGGGTGTGACTTTTACATCTCTTGGGTTGCCTCCTTCCTGCCGCTGACATCCAACATTAAAGGAGCGGCCGGTCTCCAGATAGCCTCTGAGTGAGCGGAGGCTTTGCTGTAAATTATTCAGCGGTGGTGAGTTCCTCTCAGGGCAGAGGGAAGTAAAAGCAAAGCGTCCTCTTCTTCTCCCCTCTGCTGACCCACTCAGAGACATCATCACTGGCTCCCAGTCTGCAGCGGGGCCACATTCATTATTCATTAAAGGTATCCTGGGCCCTCAGCTCGCTGCTTCATCCTCTCCATCAATCCCTTTACCCAGTTTCAGAAGCTCTCTATCTTAGTGCCAACAAGAAGCAAATGTTTTTCATTCTTTAGCTGCATTTCTATTACAAATGTCAATATTCCACGATTAGCTACGTT